AAAGGAATCTTCCCACAAAATTATCATTTCTGCAACATTTTTTCAGATTTGAAGAAGTTTGTCAAACTGAGAACAGTTGGGCAACCATTTGTGTGCGTGCTGGTATATATATATATATATATATATATATATATATATGTGTGTGTGTGTGTGTGTGTGTGTGTGTGTGTGTGTGTATGTATGTGTATAAATATAGGGCTGCAAAAATTAGGAAGAAAATATTCATAAAATAAACAAATGTTTATTTTTCAGCAGAATCGCCTTCTTTTAATTACACTTTGCTACCTAATCGAAAAACGTATTGTGAGAATGCATGAAAAAATATTAGTAAATGTGTCAGGTTATAGATTTATTGATCGTATCTTATAGACACGCATGTGTGCACATACACACATAGATAGATAGATAGATAGATAGATAGATAGATAGATAGATAGATAGATAATGAACTGAAAGAGATATTTAGATAGATATGAACAGAACTACATAAGAAGATAACTAGATAGATAAATAGGTATAAACAGAACGAGGTAGATAGATAGATAGATAGATAGATAGATAGATAGATAGATAGATAGATATGAACAGAACGAGATAGCTATGAACAGAACGAAATAGACAGATATAAACAGAACGAAACAGATAGATAGATAGAAAGAAAGAAAGAAAGAAAGAAAGAAAGAAAGAAAGAAAGAAAGAAAGAAAGAAAGAAAGAAAAACAGGATTTCTCACCTGCGTGTGGATATGTTTGTATCTGAATTTTTTGACAGTTCTAGTTTGCCTTTAGATACAGAAAAAAAAGTAGCTCTCTCAACAGGGTGTCTTATCCTGGACGTGTAAGCTTATCCCACCTTATTATACGAACAACCTCAAATGTTGATGGAAGGTAACGTACATCTCTTTTGCTAATGTCTAATTCCATACTAGCACATCGATCAGCATCATCTGTCACCTTAAAAACGACACGAATCCCCATCCACTCGGCTGACACTACACTTTGTAGACAATGAATTGGAATGATTTGATCCTGTCGGATGAGGTACAGATGGCAAGGTGGGAAGAATATAATCACCGGCTGGTATATCTTCAGCCTACGATTGTATTTGGCTATTTTTCTTCTGTGTCATGAACGCAAACGAGGCCAGATGAATATGAAATATATTCTGTCTGAGACCATAACGTCTCGGGAACATTGGGTATTGCCTGTTAGTTAAGCCACATATTTTAGATAATAATTAACTATATTTTTTAGTTTTTTCCCAAGTAAGGCTAAAAAGCCGGTAAGGTGCATTAGGTTATTGAGAATGAAAGACAATAGAGTAAATGGAACTGACAAACGTTACTGAAGAAGAAAAACAAAAAAAGAATATGATTAAAAAAGAAAGATGATGATGATGATTGATGTTGCATTTAAATTTTTGTAGATTGCATTTGGAAACTGGAAAAAGGTCCACAGACTGGACATGCAAGAGAAGAAACTCTTAGAATAGGATGTAAGGTTACATCTAACAATTCCAGTGGTAAAATGGGGAGACCTATCTGCCAATCTAGTACTACACTTCAATTCACGAAGTCAAGGTTCTAAAGAGGAAAGCTAATCTGAAAAGTTGTCACGAAAATGTTTATAGAAGAGCCACTGGGAAGCTACGTTACAACGTTGGGAAATGAACAGATTTAGATTGAAGCCCGGCCAAGACCGATAACATTGAAGAGTCTTCTTTGGATTTTGTCCAGGACTTCAAGATAGATAACAGAAGCACCCGACCACTTTTTGTTTAGAATTTCAAGATACATAGCAGAAGCACCAGACCAGATTTTGTCCAGAATTTCAAGATACATAACAAGAATCAGACCAGATTTTGTCCAGAATCTCAAGATACACGACAGAAACACCAGACCAGATTTTGCCAAGAATCTCAAGATATGACAGAAACACCAGACCAGATTTTGTCCAGAATCTCAAGATACACGACAGAAACACCAGAACAGATTTTGCCCAGAATCTCAAGATATGACAGAAACACCAGACCAGATTTTGTCCAGAATCTCAAGATATGACAGAAACACCAGACCAGATTTTGTCCAGAATCTCAAGATACATAAGCACCAGGACAGATTTTGTTCAGAATCTCAAGATACATGACAGAAACACCAGGACAGATTTTGTCCAGAATCTCAAGATACACGACAGAAACACCAGAACAGATTTTGCCCAGAATCTCAAGATATGACAGAAACACCAGACCAGATTTTGTCCAGAATCTCAAGATACATAAGCACCAGGACAGATTTTGTTCAGAATCTCAAGATACATGACAAAAGCACCAGACTAGATTTTGTCCAGACCCTCAAAATCACAAAAATATTCAGTACACGGACTATGTGAAACGTTATAAACAAGATAAAATATTTGTTCGGGGATTAAACCACAATCATTAATGTTGGCAAGATTGTTCGGACGCCATATTTTAAAAAATTAAAACTGATCTGAATGGAAAAAGAAGTCGATTTTTTGATGTTCTTGTCTAACCACAAGACAAAGGAGCTTTTTTTTTTCTGGTTTCAAATTTTTTCATTTAACTTGTAAATCTAAAATACGACAAATATGTGCTAAGCACTTGAAACTTTTAGATTTACTTAACACTTTTGCTTCTGTGGAGTGTTAAGACGTCTTTGCGAATCTTATACTGCCTGCTGTGGACGAATATATACATTTTAAGACACTGTCAAATGTTGATTCCTAGCTTTTACGCTATAAACTAACAAATGCTTAGTGCTATTCCCAAAGCAGCATAGATATATATTAGTATAGAATATGGCGTGTTTTGTGAGGTATTTTATTATATTTTGTGTGGGGTGGGTACCGTTTAGCTTACTCTGTACTACATAGTATCCAACCAAAACCAAAAATGGTGGCGCTCATCAGAAATTGCCACCATCATCTTTATAAGTTGTTTATTGAGAATTTTATAAAAACGATCAGACGTACAAAAAGTGTGACCACTCAAGGATTTTAGAAGCTGGGATTAAAAATAAATAAATAAATATGACATAAATTTTTAAACAGAGAAAAGATTTCTTTGTTCCAAGGAACTTTTAATAAAAAGAAATTGTATCTTCTTCATAGATAAATATTTTTGAAAGGCGAGACTGCACTTCAAAAATATTTATCTATGAGGAAGATACATTTTTTTTTTATTAAAAAGCATTAATTCATAACTTTTGCCAAGCTAGTTCATTTTCTTTGTTTCTTACGTCCTCAAGTGGTTTTATTGATATCGTTTCAGCTATAGGTATTTTAGTTTTATATTAAAAGTATTTTAAAGCAAAAACTACATCAAAACTGAATTATTGAATCAGAAAAGTTTATTTGCCAAAATGTTGTAGCCAGAAAAATACTAATAAATATATAAAAATAAAAACCCCAACATGTACATTATATAATTCCATATAAATGCGAATGGTATTTCATAGAGAAGAAAAATATTGATTGCAAGCGATCGCTTCGCATCGAATATTCTGTGTGGGGTCCGGTTGTTGATGTTGTTTAGAGGAAAACTTATCTCCTGTTTTATGTTAATCAAATATAAATAAAAGAAAGATGAGGATCTTAGTTGGGATAAAGTTAGGAACACGAGAATCTTGAAAGAGATTTTATTTGTTTTTTTTTTTGTTGCCCGGTCAGCCATTTTATTTGTCGAAAGAATGTGACACGAAATTGGAAAAGCTCACAAGGGAAAACGACCGCGAAAGGAAATGGACGAAAAAGGCTAAAAAAAAGAAAAGAAAAAAAAAACTAATCGGGGCGGGGGAGAGAAAAACAGCAGAAATCCATTAATTTTTTTTTTTTCAAGAGGAATGAAGAGCTAAAACGTACACAGAAAAATACCAGACGGACAGATGAGGATATATGACATTATAAAAATATATGACATTATAAAAATATATGACATTATAAAAATATATGACAACCACACTTACATGTATCTATATCATGCAGACAAACTTTCGCTTTCCATAAAGAGATATTTAGCAGGTTAGTGTTATAGATCATTCACCAGTGTTCGATCTTCACGCTACACTTCACTATTATGATTTTGTGACAAACTTAGCCCAGCTCTCTCTGTCTCTCGCTGTCGCCCTCTCTCTCTCACACACACAAACACACACATATATATATGTGTTTGTTTTATTCATATATACATACATACATACATATATATATATATATATATATATATATATATATATATATATATATATATATATGCTAGTAAATGGTGCATTTATTAAAAGATTTCAGTCTGAAGAGATGAATATATAGATATTCTAGAAATAAATTATAAACGAAGTGAATTTTTAAGGTTTTCTTTTTGATTCATATTAAAAAGATAAAAAATAAAAAAACAAATGAAAACTATAGACAAAAGTTCATTTTCTCCAGCAAGACATTCATTTCTGTAGTTTAGTGCTACCAGCAAGCAGAAATATTTCTCCTCCCGATGATGGCCATTTTGGCCGAAACTAGTCGAGGAAACTAAATGAAATAATAATAAAAAAAACGAAAGAATATTAATCTACAACCCAGTGTGTCTGAAGATTTTAATTTTCTAATATTTTTATTGTTCAAAAAAAAAAAAAAAAAAAAAATATATATATATATATATATATATATATATATATATATATAGAGAGATAGAAAGAGAGAGAGATTGATCGATTGATTCGTTTTCTACGGCTAATCGATCCTTTGCAGGTTATTTAATGCCAGAAAATATTTTTAGATTTAAGAATTTCGGGGCCGAGGAATATAATAATGGTCTAGTAATATAAGTTTTACTAATTAACCCATAGCTGGAGGGAGAAGAAGAAGTGAATTCATACCTTTTCCAAAGGTTATTTGCCCGTAAGTGAATATAACGAATCCAACTGAAATTGGAACTCGGCTCTCCGATTAACAATTCCGAGCCATTATTCATGACATCACCCGCACATCCAAGCTTACAGCACCTGGTATTCCCAAGCGGTCACCCATCTAAGTACTAACCAAACTCGACGTTGCTTAACTTCGGCTACCGTACGGGAGCCGATGTTTCAACGTGAAATGGGCGTAAGCAGAGAGAGAGAGAGAGAGAGAGAGAGAGAGAGAGAGAGAGAGAGGGGGGTACTGCGTTAGAACAGCAAGTAATTCTGATCTACCATTTGCCAAGTTAGGAGGTTTGATGTTCGCTGGGTTCTCCCGTCTTGTAGCCTTATGTCAGAGTAAGCCATGTTGACTAGATATCGACTTATGCAGATCTACAAAGATAATAACATGTCAGCTATAAAAGACAGGATAACTAAAGTTCAAATGAATAGGCCAATGAAATAATGAAAGTAGCGAATTTTGCAGATCCCCGCGCAGCACCTGCATAGACAGACATTGACAGACAGACGGATATATCGGCAGATATTTATATTATGTGGATTGCACTTTTTAGGTATACATACACTTATTAACCATAACAGATTGTGAAGCATCCGTTTTTAAGTGAAGATGTTTCTTTTCTTGAAAATTAAAATTCAGAGATTTAATGTTTTCCTCAATGAAGTAAAGAGAGAACAAGACAAGCCAGCAAAAGAAAAAAAAAAAAGAGAAAACAAACAAACAGAACATGAATGAAAAGAAAGAAAGAAAGAAAGAAACATAGATAGATAGATAGATAGATAGATAGATAGATAGATAGATAGATAGATAGATAGATGAACGAAAAATATACATAAAAATAAGCGAGAAACAAAGGAGATTATTTACATTGTTCGGACTGTTGTCCTCGTCTTTATTGCCATATACAAGACGTTTCGACTGTTGTACGCTCCAGCATTCTTCAGGATCTGTCTATATTTATGTGGGGAGGGGTTGTAATTATTTACACTATTTACATTGTTCGGACTATGTTCCTCCTTTTTATTGTCATATTCAAGACGTCTCGGCTGTTGTACTTCCCGGCCTTCTTCAGGTGATATACGTTGGAATTTCGAACCGAACCCTTTATTTAGTCCAGTTACTTGACCCAAAGTGTTGCTAGTTCAGTACCCGGCAGAGGTGAAAAAAAAACTTGGAGAGTTGAGTTCCCAAGGGGAAATAACTGAAACTGAAATATCCAGAATTGGCATGGCACGTGGAACTAGAACAACCTTCTATCGTGGATAAAATAAAGGGTTCGTTTTGAAAGTAAAGATTAAAATTAAAAAATGGCAGGATTTGCCCGGGAACTAAAGAAATTGATGACAAAAATGAGGGCACATATAGTGATTTTCCAAGCGTAGCTCAAATGTGGCACAAGGCCGAATGTATGGGGTACCCAGTGAGGATCGAAATGAGGGCATATGTAAACGTACTAGAAAGAGGGGGAATTAAAGAAGCGAATTAAAATTGAAATTGTCGAAAAAAAAAAAAAAAAGCTGATAAAGATTTTAAAATAAGTTTACACTCCGTGAATATCCAATAATAAACCAGTCGACATTTTGTATTAAAATGTAAATGCCTAAAATAAATAAACTGTAAAATTTTGCTAAAATAAAAACAAATGTTAAACTTTGTACTTTGCGTTTGCCTAAAATTCCGGAAAAAAAAAACAATTAGTCTGCGTGCGTAGATAAAAGAAAGACATGATCATCATCCTGATTTACGCGCCATTTCCCACCAGAACGTCAGTGATCATAACCCGACAAATAATTTCCCCTTGTAGCTCTAAGCAACGTTTCACTCTTTGCCGCTCCTTCCTTTTCAATGTTCTGCCACAAATTCACACAAATACTTTGGGTAAGTTGCTTGCTATTTTCCTTCACCTTTTCGACCTGAGTGTGCTAAGTTCTCCAAGCCGTCCTTTATCGGAATGTGTCCCTAAAAATGTCAACTTTCTCTTTCTGATCGTATGAATGCCTTTTTACTTTTGATTTTGTTTAGAACATCCATATTCCGTGTGTAGACACACATCTCGGTCGCTTCGAGTTTCTTAGTCAACTGTTAGGAATTTGTCTAATACTCCTCGTCATATAGTGATTTTCCAAACGTAGCTTAGACGTGGCACAAGGCCGAAACTAGGGGACACTCAGTGAGGATCGAATTCACTACTCAGTCGTAATTGTTCTAGCGAGACAAGCTTGTTAATCATTACACCGCCTCGAGGTGTTCTACTCCTCGCCCTATATATAGCAATTCAACACTCTTCTTTCTTTATAAAAACAGCCTTTTTTGTTAATTTCTAGAAAGCCTATTCTGTTCTTATGCGCCGTCGGCTTTCAGTGTTACATTTTCCCGCCAACTAGAATCAACACTTTTTCGTTTCCCCAATGCCAAGAAACAATGATTCTATTTTTGTTTTAATTTCGAAAGTTTGTCTTTTGTCACTGAGCACCCCCCGCTGCCACTGTTTATTCCCTAATGGCTCCCTTGGACATCCCACCCCGCGGGCAGTACAATTAATTTTGGGGACCACTGATTTACGACTCTTTTATGATTTTCAATCAGAAGTGAAGGAAAGGAAGAGGTAGAATTTCTAAAACAAGAGGAGACGAAACAAGGAGGCTCGTTGTGTTAATCGGTGACAAGTTGTGCTGTGCTTTGTGCGTGCGTGCAGGCGGAAGGTGCGGAGGGTTAGTGCCTCCCAGAAAGGAAAGAGAAAAATGGAAGAAAACGTTGAAAGACGAATATAGGGGAAAATTAGAACTGGTTAATAGCCAGGCGAATGCTAAGTAGGTATTCCAGCCCTTTTCCAACTCAATAGAGACGGAAACTGATGGTCACCTCCCTTCTTTTTTTTTCGTTTCTTTTGGCTTTCTTCCTCCTTATTCTCTTTCACATTCTTTTCCCTCTCTTATTCTCTCTCTCTCTCGCCCTCTCTCACTCTCACGTAGACACGTGCTCGTGGGAAGAGTACACTTCTTCATCTTTTCTCTACTTTTCTGTTCTTTTAGAAGTGCTTTAATCTTTGAGTGCTTTTTGTCGAAGGATTTTTGTTAAGCTTGTCACATACATTAGTCTGATCCTCACTAGGTGCCTCTATCTCAATTAGCATTTGATCAAATGAAGGAAAATAAATACTAATCAAACAGGTATTGCACATATGATTACCTTTTTCTATTTTTTTCTTTACTCTTTTAGATTTCATCAATCTTTGGAAGGGTTTTTTCTTTCTTTCTTTCCGCATATTTTTTTTTTCTTTTTTCTCTTGTGTTTCTTTCCTTTTTCTTTCTTTTTCAATTCTTTTAAAATCCTTTATACTATTTTTTTTTCTTTTCTACCATTCTTCCTTCTCGTTTGTTACTCCGATATTTTTCTTTTTTTTTATTTAATTCCTTCTTCGGTTTTCATTAATTATTGAATTCTGTATTTTTCTAATATTTCCACTTTCGCCTTTGTCCTTTTTCTTTTCCTATATATTACTCTTTTCTTTTCTTTTTGCTCAGTTCTTTCTCATTCTTAGTTTTTAAAAATTTTCACCTTCATTTTTTTTCTATTTCTCAACCTTTTGATTTCTTTCTTTCTTTCTTTCTTTCTTTCTTTCTTTCTTTCTTTCTTTCTTTCTAGCCTTCCTTTTCTTTCTTTCTTTCTTTCTTACTAGCCTTTTTTTCTTTCTTTTTCTTTATTTTTCTTTCTTTCTTTCTTTCTTTCTAGGCTTTTTTTCTTTCTTTCTTTTTTCTTTCTTTCTTTCTTTCTTTCTTTTCTTAGCCTTTCCTTTTCTTTCTTTCTTTCTTTCTTTCTTTCTTTTCTTTCTTTCTTTCTTTCTTTCTTCGTGCCTTTTTTTCTTTCTTTCTTTCTTTCTTCGTGCCTTTTTTTCTTTCTTTCTTTCTTTCTTCGTGCCTTTTTTTCTTTCTTTCTTTCTTTCTTTCTTTCTTTCTTTCTTTCTTTCTTTCTTTCTTTCTTTTCTTTCTTTCTTTCTAGCCTTCCTTTTCTTTCTTTCCCTTTCTTTCTTTCTTTCTTTCTTTCTTTCTTTCTTTCTAGCCTTCATTTTCTTTCTTTCCCTTTCTTTCTTTCTTTCTAGCCTTCCTTTTCTTTCTTTCTTTCTAGCCTTCCTTTTCTTTCTTTCTTTCTTTCTTTCTTTCTTTCTTTCTTTCTTTCTTTCTTTCTTTCTTTCTTTCTTTCTTTCTAGCCTTCCTTTTCTTTCTTTCTTTCTTTCTTACTAGCCTTCCTTTTCTTTCTTTCTTTCTTTCTTTCTTTCTTTCTTTCTTTCTTTCTTTCTTTCTTTCTAGATTTCCCTTTCTTTCTTTCTTTCTTTCTTTCTTTCTTTCTTTCTTTCTTTCTTTCTTTCTTTCTAGCTTTCCCTTTCTTTCTTTCTTTCTTTCTTTCTTTCTTTCTTTCTTTCTTTCTTTCTTTCTTTCTTTTATGCGTGCCTTTAAACAACATGTTAAATATTTAATTTAATTGTTACTTCTTTTCTATGCTGGGACTTCGCCCTCCCATTCTCTTCCTCTTTCCGTCTTTCTACCCTCACCCCTGACATTTTTATGACCATTCTGCCCTGACGATCCAGTATTAAAAATAAAAAGGGTTTTTATTTGTTATATACCGTTCCGTCCACCCTCGCTTAAACGTTATTACCCCGACAAGGGTTGCAGAAAATGTTTTTTTTTGCAGGAATCCATCAACCATTGTCGAAGATATATGACTATTTTTGTTTGTATAAACAAAGTGCGCCGTTCTTTTTTAAAGAATATCAAATTAGGAACATGCTCTTTGGTTATCAAAGCATTAACGAATCCTACGACTCGCATTCGAACACACACTTGTTCGAGTGCAGACACATACAGTCCATCAGTAACTATATGCAAAAAACATCTGCAAATCGAGAGCAAGTAATCTGTTCACATTTCAATACATGAACAAACATGTGTTATAGTTTCAACGTTTCTGGAACTAAATACATATATATATATATATATATATATATATATATATATATATATATATATGTGTGTGTGTGTGTGTGTGTGTGTGTGTGTGTGTGTGTGTGTGCGTACAGGAGGATTTCTTTGGTAACAAAGAAAAGAATACTGAGCTGTTACGTGACATCTCTTCTTCTTTACGGCAGCGAATGTTGGACGATTTTCACAAAGATGACGAAGAGACTCAAGGCAACGGAGATGCGGTTCTACAGAAATATGCTAAGGATATCATGGACCGAGCGTGTGAGTAACGGTAAGGCCTTAGAGAGGTTGCAAACAAGAAGACTTATATTTAAGATCAGGAAGACGCAGCTGAAGTTTCGGGACACAGATTGAGGAAGGAAGGTCTGGAGAATCTGATACTCTGGGGTCGAATAGAGGGACATAGAGACAGGGGAAAATGAGCGTATGACATACCTGGCGAGTTTATGCAGGTGGATGACAGAACGTGGTCTGGGGGGGGGGAGCAGACGGAAGGAACTTTTTAAGAGCTGCAAGGGATAGAGGGAGGTGGGGAACAACCATGATCGCCTACGTCCTGAAAGGATATGGTACATAAAAAGAAGTCAGACACATATATTGATATGTAACATAATAATAATGTAACGGCAAGGTTTCATGATTTTACAATTGAAATAGCTAGATGTAACCGTAAGTTCTATGCTAACAGTTTCTTCTCTCGTACTTCTCGATTGTGGAACTTTCTTCCGGCTTCTTACTTTCTGGTCCACTTTGACATTCTAAAATTTTAATACAGTGTTTTTTTTTCTCTGGTATTCTCTATCTAAGACTCAGTACCTCATTGCGTCTTTGTGGCTTCATTACCTTGCTTGGGGAGAAAGGATTAAAATAATATTTTTAAGTATAATTAACTAAATATTATCAATGTGTGTGTGTGTGTAGGAATAAACGCAAGCACGTACACACACAGACACACACACAGTCACACACACTCACATATATATTTAAATCTTAATCCTTCAAACTCAATTATGCATGTGATACATTTCTATCTGGAAAAGATATTGAAACTTGTTTTTATTTAATCACAGAATATCCGATAGGAAAGGGCGCCCATCTTGAATGTCTGATAAAAAAGGAGGAAGAAGAGAAAGTAGAATGAAAGAAGTAGAAGAAGAAGAAGAGGAAGAAGAAGAAAAGGGAAGAGGAAGAAGAAAAAGAAAATAGAAATTGAAAGAAGAAGAAAAAGAAGAAGAGGAACAAAAGAGAGAAGAAAAGGAAGAAGAAGAAGAGGAAGAAAAAGATAAAGAAGAGGAAGAAGAAAAAGAAGAAAAGAAGAAAAAGAAGCTAACAATATTGCTTTTACTCTCTCTCGTCTTCTTACTACTACTATTACTAATAATAATAAGGTTTGAGCAACAAGAAGAGCCGATAAACAAAGGAACAACAGTATTTTCAATCGCGAATATAAAACTCTTGATGTCGACGTCTGGACTTTACGAGATATTCGCTTACATTAATGCCCATTGTTTATATATCTACGTAAAAGAGAAGCCGGTCTAAGCTTCAGCCTCCCTGTCCCATTTGTAAAGCCTACCTCATCAAATCATCTACTCCTATCGTCTGGTTATTTTGGACTCTTGTTATTTTTTACGATTTAAACATGTTATGCATAAATTCTCATGGATCTGAACGAAAGTCGAAACGCAGATTTCGGTTTATCCTTGTTATCAATGTTTGGGGGGTGGATGTTTAGGCTTTTCTACAACAAAAAAGAAAAAAAATGCGGAAGATATCGTTTTAATTAGGAAAAAATGAATTCCTTTCTCTAGAGAACGCCTTGAAGCGTGTAATTTTATGAAGGTCTATTTAACGTATCGCCAAATCAATAAAACTCAAATAGTTCAAATTGGTCAAGGTCACTAGACATCATATGACAGTTAACAACAACTAAAATCCGAATTAAATCTCTGGAAAATATGAGTTTTGTGACGTACAGTGACCGTTAATGATTTAGTATAACTCAAGAGGAGTGGAGTAATTGATAGCAGCTTGGATTGAAGAATCGGAGAGCCGAGTTCGAATTCCAGTCGAGTCCATTACATTCACTTACGTGCTAATACCCTTGAGAGAGGTATTAATCCTCTTCTTCCTCCAGCTATGGGTATATAGCAGGACAAACCAATTTCTATAGCCTTGGGTGGCAACTGGTCTACCGCAGAAAGAAATGTGCAACCTACTGCCTCAAGTATCAAAATACACATGATCGCCTAAGCGATATGGCACATAACTGATGATAACTCATGAATTCAATGTTAAAATGAAAAAGTATTTAATTACAACCGGAAATAAATATATAACCAAAGATAATTAACCATTTCAATGAATAACTTGTTAGTAACGCGGCTCGGATTAACGTCTAGTAAATCCTAAATCAAAACCCAAATCATCGACGCACAATAATTCACACTAATTCGACTGGATAGTTCCAGTCAATATTCACTCAATAATCATTGCATTCAGTAGCCTGACACCGCTATTTATACACCTAGCGGAAAACATATATCCATAAGCCAAGAGTGTCACGTTCAAACCCCGGTGCCGGTAGTTACTCATTTTCTTCCTATATGACAATAAACAAATGTGGAAAATTCCTTAATAAGAAAAATTGTTTGTTTATAAAAATATCAATTTACAAGCAAAGTAATTTGTTATCTTCGTAATATTAATTATAATTTTCTGAAGTTGTAGAAAAGAAGACTGAGGAAGGAAACAAACTTAGTTTAACCTTTTGAACCCTGCGTTCCTGAACAATTTTAACCCTTTTGCCTGAGCTCCTGGGTCAAAATTCGTAAACAATTAGTATGTAATGTTTCACGGTTGATATAAAAATAATTACAAGCGTTTACCGACCGTTCAACCGGTGGCTTGGCATTAAGTCATTTTTGTTTACCACTGTTCAACCGGTGGCTGGGCGTTACGTCTTTTTTTACTGCCACCGGTAAATCGGTGGTCAGGGCTCAAATGGTTAAAGAATATCAAATAATGAAAAGAAATGAAAAGAAATCAAAAATAGAGTAAAATGAAGAAACAACTATGAATGAAAGAGAAAGAAAGAGAAAGCAAAAATAAGCGGCAAAAAAGATTATTTGTTCGAAAGAAAGAAAGAAAGAAAGAAAGAAAGAAAGAAAGAAAGAAGAAAAATGAAAAAAAAAAAGGAAGATGATAAAAAAGAAAAATAGAAATAAAGACGAATGCAGAAATTAAAGAACAAATAAAAAAAAAACCTGAAAAAAAGAAAAAAGGAATAAATCCAGCAATAAAAAATATTCAAGAAAAAATTACAAAGGAAAACCAGAAATTATAAAAATAATAAAATAGCGAAAGAAAGAGGATTTGAACTGAAGGAAAAATATACAAAAGAACAGAGGAAATAGAAAAGAAGAAAAAAAATCTCAAATTTCCTTTGTGCTAAGCGAAGGTAACAATTACATTTACAGTTTCTCCTGTAGAAGACAAACGAAGCCTTATCAGTTTACATGACAACGTTCAGAAAATACCCTTTGGTCGAAGAATGTCACTGATTTTCATTGTAATGGATTCGAGCGTGTTTCTCTGACATCACTTGCTCACTTTACTGCTGATAGATAGAATATCGCTTTGCTTATTCGAGACAAACATTCCATTTGGTTGTCAAAAGATTATCAGAAAACGCCTTAATAATAGATTGCACAACGATTGGGATTTTACGATCCAAAACAGGTGGCCATTTTGTTCGAGCGGGAACCTGAGTGTGCCTGAATGCTTACGTGCGTGTGTGTCGCCCTTTGTAAATGTGTGTGTACACTGCAATGGAAGTGTGTTAATGGTTGAATCTATTTACACGCTAGTATTTTTGTGTTAATTCTATTCAACACTCTACCAGTTGGGGTCAAGGATACGCAGACTATATCCCCGTGCAGAGCAGTAACCCCCATAAATAAAAAGGCAACATATTTACCAGATATATATCTATCTTTTTGTAAGCTCGTACAAATCGGAACTATATCTACCTATCTATAATTTATAAGGATGATAGAATTCAGCGTTAAATAAACTGGAAAAATTTTGATATGCCGTAAAACAAACAAACCAAATTCTAATAAAATCACACACTCTAGTATTTTTACAACCTGTCTATCTATCTATCTATCTATCTATCTATCTATCTATCTATCTCTGTTCATATTTACTTTGTTCATATCTATCTCAGTCTGTTTCTATCTATCTATCTATCTATCTATCTATCTATCTATCTATCTATCTATCTCCGTCTGTTCATTATCTATCTATCTATCTATCTATCTATCTATCTATCTATCTATCTATCTCAGTCTGTTCATATATGTTCGAGGTCTTTCTTTGTGTTGCCGTTTTGTCTTGTTTTTTTGTAGTGTGTCCATGCGCAGTAAAACGGATTTGGGAAAGAAAAGGATAAATTTAAAATCCTGCAACAAGCGTCAATATTCAAATAAATTACTGTACAAATAAACTAATAAAGAAACGTAGGAGAGAAAAGAGAAAGACAGAGAAAGGTGGAAAAAATCTTTGCTTTGAAAATCACTGAGAAAGAAATGTCGAACTGGCCAGGCGCGAATTATTGGCCTTTCAGAGATTTTGCTTTTGTGTTTTTCTTTGCCGATTGACCAACATTCAACAGAGACGCCAAGTAATTTTTTTTTTTCACGCCAATCAGTATTAATCCGTCTTTTTAGTGCATGTGCTCTTTGCTGGACAAAGAGGAACGCAGAATGAAGGAAACAGCGGGTCACGAGCCTTTATAAGTGCGCACGAGAAGCAGTTATCGGAGAGGGGCGTGTGTGTGTGTGTGTGAATGTGTGGAGTTAACTACGCATTTCGAACAGGCGTCAGTGTTCGGTGAGTTTTCCTCACATGGAATATTAGTGCAACACAGTTTTCCTACCTATTTAACCCTAATCCAATTTAGTGTAGACATAAAACAAAATACTGAATATATATATATATATATATATATATATATATATATATATATTTAAGATGTGCTATATTTATGTGATAAAGTGCTCAATATCAGAGATAGAGCGTTATATATATATATATATATATATATATATATATATATATATATATATATATATACAGAATATGAACAAATGTGTCTGAAAAAGAAAAAAAAAAGCAAACAATTACAGCAAATAAATGCACATAAATATTCCTATAACCCATCCTTTTAACCCATTATATTGACAGTAAAATGGTAAAATAGCGTCTGTCATGAAAGGGGCTATGAAGCAGAAGTGTGTTACTGAATTCCTCTATACGGAAAAAGTGCACTATTTACATAATTCGAACTATTGACCTCATCTTTGTTGCCATATTTCGGCCTTTTTTTCTTTTTAGCAGAGCTCATATTTCAATTTATTGTTGTTATTGCTTTTCTCTGGCACTCCTTATTACTGGTTCTCATATTGCATTCATTTCTATGAAATAATAACAACGAGAATTGCAATATGAGCTCTGGTAAAAAACATGAAATGATAACAGCAAAAATTGCAATATGAGCACTGGTAAAAAAAATGTTGCTGATGACATTAAGTTTATAAGTCCCAGAAATTCCTATACTGATGTCCTTAAGGAAACATGGCACAGTGGATAAAGGCGTTGGCTAGATCCAGTGACAGGACCCAAAGAGTTCAATACTTGGTTAAGGCAGGTGGAGAGGTGAATTAACAGGAGATAACAGATAATTCATACACGGGTGTCCTTAAGGACACATGGCACAATGGATAAAGGCTTTGGTTAGATCCAGTGACAGGACCCAAAGAGGAGAGGTGAATTAACAGGAGATAATTGATAACTGACATCTATTAGACATAGTACGTGGAACTAGAACAGTCTACCTTGCGAAATAAGGGTTCAGTTTCAACCACTTGAAGAAGACCGGAGCGTAAAATATGGATGAGCACAAAGATGGCGACAATAGTCCGAATGTAAATAGTGTATATAGACGGAAAAAAGTGCACCCATTAAAATTAATCGACGCTTGTTGAATGTTTACAGAGACGACATAGAGGATATGAGCACAGTGGGATGGTGGTAACTGATTTCTGCATTAGTTAACATAGTGATATAAGTTTTGTTCTGGATGATCTTTTACAGCTTTTAACGTAAACGGAAAAAAGCCTTATGCACAGCAAATGGTGTTGACAAAAACTTTCCTTCTCCAATGTCGTTATCTCGTTCTGTATCTGCTGTACTTTTCATGGAAATAAAGTTACATCGGAGACAGGCATATTCAGCCATTCTTTGAGTGGACTAAAAATGGTCAGTATAGAGTGAGAAGAATCTGACAGCGATATAAATGCTTGCCACTAGATTCAGAGACATTGCATCAAAGTCGTACATACACCCTTGTGCAAATTAATTGAAACAACCGCTTTAGTTTCCTTTCTTTCACCAGACGGTCAGTTTTAGACCCACTGAAGTGATTGGGTCTAATCGATTTCCATTTTCCCTCAAATTAGGTCATTTGCAGTGGTTTGCAGTAATATATGAATCTATTTTCGTAGTGTATGATGAAATTTGTTTGGCCTTGAAAAATATTGCATCATCCGTGATTGCATCAGGTTTTTATCACAACCAGACACTACTGTCTCGACTGTCGATTAGTTGTCCTACAGCCATTGTCTGCGATGAACGTTACTCCAAGGAAGCATACGAAAATTGTAACACTGCAATAACACACTGGCAAGCCTTACCAGTGCGCAAATCAAAGTACTATAGACTAGCCCGGAAAATCTGATTTAAATCTAATCGTGAATCCGTAGTCAATCTGCAAGCAACAACTTCGTGGAATGGACATACAAAATACTAGCATGTGAACTGGGTCATGTTTCATTGTAAAAATACGAAAAAAAAGTAAATAATAACGGAATTATTCGTTTTGTTTCAATTTGTTTGCCGAAGGGTGTAGTTTGGGGTAAGAAGCGAAACAGCGTGAAGGCGTGGTATTTATGGGCATAGAATTATAGAAAAGACAATGAACTAAACAACATTTTTTTTTTCATCAGGAAGTGTTATATATGAATGAAGTGTCGCTGCCGACACTTGAGTATGAACATAGATCGCCAGTGAGCAAACACAGGCGATCTCATTATTGAATTATCTAGACCACGTGAGCATAGAGGAAACGCATATATGGAAAGTAGCATATGTCTAATTGATCGCCATTCCTAGTCTATCCTCTATTACTATTCGGATCACCATTTCTACTCTATCCTCTTATTAATATACGGACCGTTATTCTCTACTCTATTCACTATACCATTTCTCTATTCAGATCACTATATGGATTACTTTTCGAGCGAGTATTACGAGCAAGTACTATTAGTGCGAGTGATATTCGAAGGCGTCTGACACCAGTATTGTTCAACGGCGTTACTATAGCTATATCTGCGATTACAAAGTCTCTACTACAACGAGCATTACAAAAGTGACAACGTGTATTCGTTGAGATCACAAAAGGAAGGCATTTCCTTTACAACTGCTGGAACGACGCACATATGTTGCCATTCTTGCATTTGGTAAGGCATACATTTTTGATTTCGAGGCAAAACAGAATCGACCATTTACCATTGATTTAGACGTCGATTCAGCAGTGATAAACCAAAAACTTGGAGAGTCGAGGTAAAGGGAAATAACTTAGACGTCGGGAAGAGGCTTGGCACGTGGAACTAGAACAATCTACCCCCCCCCCGGTGAACGAAATAAAGGGTTTGGTTTGAAATTCCAATCACCCAAAGAAAACCGGAGCGTACAACGACCAAAAATGTTGTGAATATGGCAATGAAGATGAGGATAACAGTCCGAATAATGTAACTAATATAAGTAATCATAATACCTCATCTCATTCCTCCTCAGAATATTATGAAATTAATTGAAAACATGTAGTTAATCAATATTTGACGAATAAATGCCTTTGATTTCTATGTTCATTCCCTTCTTTATTCATGTCGAAATAACAATATCAACACAACGTCATTGTTACTAAGAATGAATCATTTATATATAGATTTTCTTCTTTCTCTTTATTTTCTGTCTTTTTACTTTTTCCTCATCTTCTTTTTCTTCCTTTTCTTCTTCTTCTTCCTCTTTTTCTCCCCCCACTTTTTTTTATCAGATCTTCCAGAAAAAAAGAGCAATTTCCTAACGGATATTTCGTTATTCAAGTTTCAATATCTTTTCCAGATAGAAATGTATCACATGCATAACTGAGTTTGAAGGATTTAGTTATAGATATATGCGTGCGCGCATGCGTTTATATTTGTACACACACTCTCTGACAAAGACACGCGCAGACAGACACGCGCAGACAGACGCGCGCGCACATACATATATTTAGCTAATTATACTGAAAAAAAATATTTTAATCATTTCTCTCCAAGCAAGGCAATAAAGCCACTATAAAGCAAGAGGTTACTTAGTGTAAGAGAATATGAGAGAAAATGAATAAAAAAAAACATTATTAATGAGCGAGAACAATAAAAGGACAGGGATTAATAAGACAAACGATATCGATTGACGTTACAATTAGATTTTGAAAATCAAACTTGATAGAAAAGTAAGAAGCTGGAACACTGTTACATAAGTGAAAAGTACCA